TCCATGTAATCTTAAGCAACTTATGTATTTAACGGAATGATTCATCAGCAGTAACATTAAAATTTTCTTATGATATTTGTTTTTGATTTGGCTGTAGAACGGATTATTGTATAAAGTACGTTGCGACCAGACAAATGGAAAGTTTAGATTGAAGATCAAAGAGCTACTGTAACAGAAAGAAAACAGTAAAAATCCCTCTACAGCTTCTTTGTTGAACAGTATTTTCATTTATTTGTTCCTTCTCCCTTTTGTGTATTCCAACTTTTGTTTCGATCTCGTTTAACCATGTCTTTTGTTCTTCAGTCTCCCCCGTTTAAGCCTTTATTATGTGATTTTGATTAAAGACTTATTTTTTGTTACCTAATTTTCTATTGCATGTTGCCGGACCATTGACAGTAAGGTTGTGTTTGACTAAGCTCAAGGTCACGGCGTGGTTCATTTTGTGACTGTTAACCTTCTGACTGTCTGCTTGGGAGAATTGCTGCAATCCCTGCAGATAGATATTTGATCCCATCTTATTGGGAATATTTGTATTGATTCTCAGGTATCAAACCCTTTAGTATTAACTGTCTCTTTCATTGTTTAGCGCGCTACTTTGCGTTAGAGAAACTTCTGACTGTATAGCACAGGCTGTACCGTTTGAGGTATTTTGTATTTTTGATGTAATTTGTTCTGTTTTCTTAATTAGAACCGTTTATATTGAGCACAGAGTTTGTGTTTTGATATAATATAATACGAGTATCTCAAAGACGCGTTGTGAGCTATACAGAGGAACTTGGTCTGGTCTAATCGAATAAATTTTGGGTTCGTCAGTCCGTAGTTCCAACCGAATATTGGCTGTTCGGTCGTTACAGCTTCTATGCAACCACTTCAAATAAAATGCTCCTACCCAGACAAATTTAATGCATGGAATAAAAATGCAGTGAGTTACGCAGTTATTAACTTACACTTTTTGTCAAGTACCTTTCAGGTAAGTTGTAATGCCGCGCTTGTGACTAGAAACTGGTTTGTTACAATACACAGGCATTCAGATATACAAATGTGTGGCGAGTTTTAAGTCAACCACAGATATACGCCGATCTGAAAATGACTTGTTATGATGGTTCGAAACTTTTCATTTAAGTATCTATACTTGATGTCGAAATCACTAAACGAATTGTATCACTAATAAAAACCACTCAACACTATGGAATTCGCATACGTAGAAAAATATCTGCATACCAGAACACCTAAAGCTTCAACAGAACCATAAATAAACGAGAGATCACCCACAGTGTGTTACAGAGATCTCAGAAATGGGTCACACCCTGCCACTATATCAACATAAACATGCACTTTGTGAGTGTGATATAACTTCAGCACTCATACAAGATCGTGTATAACGATTTTTCGGGAAAATATCCAGTAACACAAATTCGGCATGAAATAAGAGTGGGAGAATATGGTTTTTCAGGAGCACCAGTATCAAAAGGCGAGGATATTTTATAGAATGACGTTTTGAGAGATTGAAAAAGGTCTTGTGTTTGTCACTGCATAAATGCACATCAGAAAAATTGCTGAATAGACTATGGTGAACAAAGGTTTATCATGAAACTGAACACTCTTCAAGGCAAAGTTCGGCGAAGTTATAAATAACGACTGTGAATGTGGTACATGACAGATATATTAACGTTCATTGCACAACTGAGATACGAGCAAAAGTGAGTTTCGAAAAATGCAATGAAGGCAAAGAACGGTTATAACGTACGACGTAGCAGGCGCCGGATGATAGCTTGGTTTAATGTTAACAAAAATTTATAAGCACAAATTGGAAATCACCAGCACACAGGAGTGGAGGGATGACTATAAAGTACTATGAAGCGGTATTAAAAAATGAGTCGAACGGGGAGAGAAATAGACAAAGCAAACGAACAAAACAGCACTTCTTACCTGTTTAAAAAGCTGTTCATCTTGATTACAGAATCACTGTACTGAACCAAGTCAATTAAGAATTTTCAATAATAAATTCCATTACATTCTGGAAGATGAATTTCGGAAGAAAATGTGGATCGAAAAATAATCTAGGTTGTTTGGAGATAATAATTATCATTTCAACGCACACATGCACATACATGTTTTCCCAGCTTTCCTTTTATACCAAATTGTTCATTAAAATGTGTTCACGCTACGGAGAAATTAGTGCAAAAGAAATGTTTCCGAACATACAATAAATGGAAACACTTAATTTTTTTATTACGAGCAGTTCTCTCCTGAGAATCTTTCATACTACATGATTCTTCAAATTTTTTACCAGAAAATGTGTCCAAGAGCCGGAATCTGTGAAAGATCTCTCAGTATGTTCATAGATATCAATTCATAGTTTTAAACATCGTGTTAAGAAAAACGTTCTTTCAGTCATCACCTCATTTGTGAACACGTCTGAGTGCACAACACATTTCCTTATCTCCTGATTTGTTTTTAGGTGTAAAGTTTTTTTCTGCTAACTTAATCTGACCGAATACTTCATCACAAACAGGAAATATAAGTTGATCGAGACGTTAGGAAACCTAGGTCTTTTTAGTAGTGTACATTTCGACAATGGTCATAAACCTTTTGTAAATGGCATTGAAAGCGGTGTAAGATGAGCAATCTCGAGAAAGAGAAATAATGTGAATTGGATTACGATGTTATAGGTTATATTCTGTCTGGCTGACGATTCCCAAATTGGACAACATATGTGTCCTCAATTCCACTGCTAACCACCATCAGTCTCGGCCTTTCCAACGGTTGTTTTATAACAACCATAAACTTATAAAACACTTGCGTTGCATCGACGCAAGTGTCACAGTTCTTTCACGCAAATGATACGTTTCGACCAAATAAATGTTCACCAATGTTGTAACCTGGACGCGGCGTCGTCTTGAACAGGTCGTGAAATCTGTTAATTCATGATACACTTCTGCCATATAAATCTAAGTGTCAACTCTCCGACATATCTGCACGAATATTCTGCCCTTTATTTTCACTGATTTCGCCTATTTAATAACACTATTTGAGCAGTATTATTATTATTATCCACAAACATCTTATGGGTACATCTTACCTGTGAACTCATGCTGCGAGTTATTATAATGTATGTAAAAATGGCGTGCGCTTGCTATGCTGGAAAAGTATTATTATAACGATCAAATATAGAATGAACACATATGATCTATGTAAATACAGAAAGATACCACTTACTGAAACTGTGTTGGTTTAAAACATCATAACAAAACAACTGTGGTAAAAAATGTTTAAAAAGCTGAGAATCTTAATACCCTCATACAACGCCGAAAGTTGTGGCTGAGATTTCTATCTTCGGAGCATATTGAAGTACAAAAGATGTGTTCTGCTGACTTCGGTGTTTAACAATTTCATCACAAATAATCATAGTAGTGAACACGCGGTAATGTTTGCTCGATGAATATGTGAAACAGGTTACCTAGATTACATACTAAATACATTCACAAGCATCACTCAAATCTAACGAACTTCATAACACCGCAAAATGAAAATACTTATATTACATTCAACAGTTACTTGTATAAACTCAGTAGTCCATTTATATGTACATAACATGTTTCCATGTATATCTACGTATTCTAAACATACTATAGATGCAGATGCCTCCCTGCATCTATAGTTCCAGACATCCAATTCTTTTCGACAGAAAGTACCCACTGTTAATTCCTAATTTCCACCTACTAGATTCCATCATGTGACAGTAGTGCATACTACTTATTGCTAATATAGAAGTATCGTAAACACAAATCACCTAAAACTAACAGGAATCAAAAAGTTGCTAATCGTAGTACTAGACTTACTCCCATGTAAATACTAGAAGCACAGCTTAGTAATATATTGTAGTTTACTTTCAAATGTGCATCCACAGAATAAATTAAAACTTATGTAGTTGCATAATAGTTTTTCCTGATTCATTGAGGGTAGGTATCATCATTTTGAACTATATTTCTCAGCTCAACCAGATCCATCTAGAATATGTCCAAAGGAGGAGTTGTAGCTAAGTTGCTTTTGTCGTTAACAGCTTGATGCAGAAATCAGTTGACCCATGATTGTTTGGTTCCTGAAATTCTGAATTTGGTGTCCTCAAATGCAGGAAGCTAACATTTAATGAACTTATTAGTGATCATCTTAAACAGTAGCTGAAAAAGCACGGGGTTTCTAAATAAGATTGAGTCAACATTAAACCTAGGCCATCTGAAGATAAGCTGGTGGTCTTGGTGTCTGTCCTACTGGCACACTTATCCACGGCGAATTAGACACCGTTAAAGCCACCTACAGTATTTCATAACATGAATTAAAGCACACTTGAGCGCCCCACAAAAAGCTGTTAGTACCACAAGTTACTAGAGTTTTCTAGTGACGCCGAGTGATTCTAGATCAGTACAACCCATGGCTTTTTGACAGGATTATCAGATTCGCTCACCCTAATATAACCTTTGAGACAGTCTGAACATTTCTTTAAACTAAAACCACCGTAAAACTGAAGGAGTTCCTTAATAATCTTGTTTCAGTAATTTGACGCATACGAGTAGATCTCGCGAATAGTGCAAGTTTCTTCAGCGACCTGCATGATACATTTACCACTCAACTTCAAAAAACCAGAAGTTCGGTATCGCGCAGTTCATGCTGCATTCACAACACACTAGAGCACCGAATAGCAGTTATTAAAAACACTGATGGTGGAGAAATGTGATGACTCTCCTGTAACATTAGAAACGTGATAGGGTAGAAACGACCCTTGATTTAAAATTAATGGTCGCTTGGTTGGTTGGATCAATACATTTAATTGGGCAGTTTCAGCTAATTAGATTCTAACTGACCTGAAAATTTGTAAGCATACAATCGAAAGATTTACTCCAATCGTTTTTCTAGCTATCTGATCGAGTCGCTCATTAAATTCCGTTTTAATATCGAGATCATCTTTTGTTTTAAGTAGTCAGTCTGTAGGTCATTATGATAACAAACTTTAGCAACTGAAACGCGCCTAAGCAGAAATGGGAGTAATTACAAGACTTTTTCAGGCTGACTTCTCTTGAAACTGCGCTAAAGAAAATTTCATACTCTAAAACAGTTGGAAATAGGAGTAATGAGGGATTATCTTCCACCTAATCCCTTGACAAAAGACAAAGGTTAACTAGCAAATAATTAATGTTACATATATAATTTTAGGCGGTATATGGGCTCGAGGGGTCAAAGATGGTTTAATCACTTTGGGTTCTGATGAGGAGCCTTCATTTAGCTACTGTTCTTCAAGTTCGGATGCATCCAACATAACTCTAACGAGTGAATTACTTGTGAGGTCTTTTTGTGATGTTTATTATACCAGTTGAAACGTGGTTTATTTAAAGATCAATCATGTATATGCGAAGTCGATGTGTCTTGTCTGGGTTTGGAGGGCTTGGAGCCCGATCTACATCTAAAATTTACCTCCCTAAAAAAACTAGTTGCTGCTGATAATACTCTTTCTTTAGGTATTTCTAGTATTGTTATTATGTGAAATTTTGTAGAATGTTTTGAGAAATTTAATGATTTAGTGGAACTGGATCTTTCGCTGAACCAAATTAACTCACTATCGAGCTATTCACACGGATTTAACAGTTTACATGTAAGCTTATGTATATTTTATAGTCGTCTGTGAACTTAACAAATGTCTGTCTTTGTCCACAACTTCATTTGAATACACTTTCAGAGGTAACTGAAAGCCGTATATGTGTTTGAATCAGGACAATCAGCAAGACTGATCTGTAGACTGGTTATGAGAACTCTAGATTGATAATTACTTAAAAAAATAAGTTACACCTTGAAATTCTAATTTTCATGCTTTGAAAAGTGTGGGATATTGACCTCAAATATTTCGCAAATTTCACCTGCTCCGTGTTCGTAACTACCTAGATCTGTCGATCTGTTCATCTCTGTGCATGCCGAATTTCAGCAAATGAAAAAGAGCCTTTCGAACATTTTAATTTAAGACTGATCTTCGTGCCAAATACGGTGAACTTGTAGCGTGGAGTCGAGTCGCGATTGACTATGAACACCACCACAAGAAGACTACGTGCCAGTTAACCGATAAAATCCCCCGTAAGCCAAATATCAGGCGGCAGTTTATGGCTGTAGTCGAGATGTATTTGTTGGCGATCTCGTGGTATCGAAAGGATACCTAGGTCGTGCCAAAGGAGTACAAGCGTGGTTACCGAGCGTAACCGAACCCGTGCAAGGTCACAATCCGCGGAAAAGTAATGGAGAGTAGTGGAGGAGTAATATGGCTGTCTTTAGCACAGTTAAACAATCACTGGTACAATTGGTTATAATAATGATTGTTTCCATTAAATCATTCGCGTTCTCTTGGTAAAAGTAGGTCACTACAAACTAATATGAAGAACAGTTAATTGACACCTTTTAATGAACTTGATTAAGCTTATAAGTTGAATTCGCCCTATACCATTTATAAATGTTCGTGTGTAGGTCAGAAAATTTTATCAAACATTTATTTCGTTCATGCCCAATTAATATTCTTATTTAAGTTTAAGTTGTAATTTACTTTGTAATGATTCATTCATTTTAAGTGTACCACGGTAAGCACTGAGATAAGTTTTTCTTTTTTCAAAATTGGTTGAGGTTTGTATTTATTGTTGTTGTGAGCTACCAAGCCTTTATTTTGAAAAAGAACTGGGGATGACTGATATTTAAGCTTTGCCTTCAATCAAACAAGAGTTATGCAAAATTTTAACTGCAATGTAGGTCAAAAAAACAAATTAAAAATTTATTCTAGTAATGTCATTGTTACTTTAAAAAAGGAAGTATGTTTTTCAATAAAACCCATAATTTATTTGTTTCATTCAATTTATTTGGTAACAATCTAACAGAATACATATCATAAGTTTGGTGGATCTTCAAATTAGTATTTACACATGTACATGCAACCTCTAGCATGGGATGAAGAAATTATGTTAAAGAAAAAAGTGTGTTTTTCAAACTTAAAATCATTTGTGTACCATGTAAACGTCCAAAACGTTTCTTTTAAAGTAAAGTTAGATTAATCCCGATAAACAAACGGGGCTTAATAAGAAAATATTTAACACTTAACACCCAACATTACATACAACTTACACTACCTCGTTGATTCAGGGAGCACTTTAGTGTTTCCATATTAGAATTTGAATCGTTTAAATTTTTCACCGTATACTATGACTTGTAATTCAAATAAATTGGTAGACCTTATGTCACAAAAATCTGAAATCAAGCAATTTAACCCTAAGTGATTGAGGTTCTAACCCGTACTCATTAGGTATCAGCTAAAATGAAAGACTCATCTTACAAAAATTATTCTATAGTGAATTTCGTCACTGTCGACAGACTATGAGATTTTAAGACCAAACATAGGCTTAGTTCAACCAATTGGTCTATGTAGTTATTTTTATTAGGATGCTTAAATCATATTTTAAGCAGAAATAGGACATTGTTGACGAATATAATATAATGAATAGACAGCAACAAGGCACCAATCCGTGAAGATATTCACTGGATAATGGTCTAATTCATATAGGACGTTGTAATATTTTGTAGTCGAGTGCTAAGAACGGCAAAACTGCATGCTTAAAAATTATAAAGGTGATAGAATTAAAAGTATATTTGAATAACGAAACTATACCTAATTTTTATTTTCTTTTAGATAATAAACATCTTGTCACACTTAATTCACTTTCTCGTTCTCAATATTGATTCTTCCACCATCTACCAATTTCTGTTGAATTTACTTTTTTATGACACTATAAACTGTAGCAAATTTGTCCACTTGTCTTCAAGATCATAAGATGTTATGTTCCTGTTTTTAGCAGATGAGAAAAACAGAAATTGATATTTTACTATTTATAGATACAATCGATTTCAACAACAAATCATTTTTATTTTAGTATCTCAATTTATCATATAATTTTCTCCAATCTGCGGATATTGAAAAACTCGGTTATTTGCCATCTTTACGAATTTTGTATTTAAGTGGAAATGATCTTCGTAGATTACCACCGGACTTGTCAGAAACAAGTTCAACCTTGGATGAGTAAGTTGTAAATAGTTAACTAAGTATGTGAGGATGTTTAACCGATTTATCAAAGTATAAGTTGTAAAATAAAAGAAACGAAACGAATGTGTGGCGTTTGATATATAATAAACTGTTAAACTTTTAAAATAAAGTATGCTACAAAAAGCTACTGAACGTAACGATTTTAAAATTAACGTGGATATATATATATACATTTTCTTAAAGCTCTTGATAATTGGATCGTTAAGAAATCTGTTTACGTTTTAGCGGTACTAAGCAGCTGAGCTTTCCCATATTCCTGCTTTCATTTTACTGATGCCATTACACAAAATGAGGAATAGTTACTAGTATAATCCTAGCGCTATAGAATATATTTTTAATGTTTTCTTACCAAAAATGGTCAGAAGATTATTCTTAAAACGAGCCCTTTATCATTTGAGATATTTTACAGAGTTATACGTTTGAATGAATATAATCTGAAAGTTGGAAATTTGCACAAGATGTGTAAGACTTAATAATTACATTTTGTGCGCAGCTTATAATAAAAACCTATAATTAGGATATATTTTTGACGACGACTGGCAGTGGGATTAAATATATAGTTATCATATTTTTGAGACTCACTAAATGTATGTACTGATATACAAATGTTGACGCCCCTACTGAAACTTGAACTAACTACCGCATACCATGGTGACTAAGTAATTTGAGGGATAGTAAGCCGACATTTGAAACAATCTACACTGAGTTCGAGATTCAGCGAGGATATTAACTTTCGTCCGAGAAGTTCAAAGTACGGAATAGTGCGCGTCTATTAGGAAGCTATTTAGCTTGTAGGTTTAGGTTATATCTAGTTCAAACTGCTTGATATAAGCAACTCGGGTTCAGCTTTAGTTGAAATCGAATACCAAATCAAGTACGGCTAGAGATTAGCTACTTAACGGCCAGAAAGCGTCGATAATCAGTTCCTGCTTTTGAATAATGCTATGAAAACGGAAAGTCAAGTCGCTTATGGCTTAGCAATAGGTACCTCATCTAGAAACCGGGTTTCTCATTGGTCTCTAAAACTCCTAAAGGTAAACCTCTGGGTTCGATTATCACTGTATACGATTGTTGACATTCAGTGACAAGACCACGCAAGTAATGCAGAGGTTCGGCAACGTTTGCACTGGTTTAGTGATGATAATTCAATTAATTTCACTATTTTGAAGCACCGGATTCGATTGTTTATACTCGTTTTACAATATCATCCCACTAGTTCCCATATTATACTTTAACTGTCAACGCTGCGACTAGGTGGAAAAAGCGGAGTTGTCAGTTGTTTGTATGGCTCAGTGTTATACAACAGCCTCCTAGGAAGTAACCTATCTGCCTTTCACAACGCTCTGACTGGTTTCCAAGAGGTCGTTAGACACGTTACCAAACATGACTAGGAATAAAAGCTAGTAACGATCCTGTTGTAGTTTTCTTCTACAGTCTTTATCGAGATTTTATTCTTGTTTTTTTAAATTGTCAACCGAATGATATATATATATATATAATAATGGGCTACTTTTTACTTGATACTGTTTCTTTTTACAAACATTTTTAGACGTATTGTGTTCAGATTTGCGAAATTAGAAATCCTCTATTTGGATGATAATAAACTTTCAGATGCACAAGATTTTGCCAGTTTAGGCACTCTCCCAAGGTGTGTGTGCTCCTGTGAAATCATTTTTGTTTTTATCTAATTCATAATACAAAATGATCTATATGTTAATCTTAAAGGTAAGTTGTTGAACTATTATCAAACTTAGTGTTACAATCTACGTCTGGTATACGAAGAGACAGTGGGCAGCTTTTTTATCCTAGTATGGGACTCATCGGGAGTGCTCATCCGCCACTGCACTGAGGATTAAATATGGAAGGTTTGGGTCCCACAACGAGAGATCAGCATTTAGACAACTACGTTGGCATTCAGTGATTTACATGTCTAAACTTAGTCGACTCGAGATACTGAGCAACAATTTTCTATTGCAACTGGTGGGTGATTGCCCCACACTCAATTTAGTTGGTTGACTAACTAATGTTTAATTCAAGAATAATCGTTAGATGAAAAATAAAAATTCGTTGGTTTTCAATTTTTGTTTAGTTAAAGTCAGTCTATTATGTAAACTGTTGTTAGGTTGAAAAATCTCACATAACCTCTTCATCTTAATTAAGTTGTACAGTTTAAATATACTTTAGAAAGTCTCAAGAATGTCAGAAATGAATTACACGAAAATGAATTGTTGAAACCGACTACAGTTTGGTACCAGTCAGTCATGTCCGATGTAAAACCTGGCGCCTATGTGCATCAGTTAAAGTTTCTACCTCACAAAATAGATGGTTATAACTCAGACGAAGAGGATCACAATAATCAAAGGTTTTTAAGACAGAGAAAAAGAGTAGGATAGAAATAAGCATTTTAACCTGGCACTCTTGGGTAGTGTACGACCCAGTATAAATATGTATCATTATAAGTTACTAAAATTCATGTCAGCAAAATAGAAGGACAAGAAGCGGGGAGATCAGAACTAAAAGCAAAGCGTAAGCGAAAAACATTAAAAGAAGTGAGTGTAGTGGAATTATTGTAATTATGAGGTGACGAGCACTTACGTTTGGCTGAAAGTAAATACTAAATACATTAACAATCTATTTTGCGATGTAGTACTCAACGTATCAAGCTGTTGATCACAATTAGCTGGTAAATTTTAGTCTTGAAGATTTTACTTCCTGGAACTACTCAAAGTAACGGTCAGTTTGGTTTTATGTACTGACTACTTGTATCAGGTAAGGGTCTAACTTAAACAATTTAATATGACTAAGACAATAATTTTAATTTACAATGTTATGTGCTCTGAGGTAGTCAGTAGGAAACCATGGACAAACGTTGTGTGGTATTCGATATTTTTCAGCGAGATATGCTATTAACCTTGGGGGATCTGATATCATCTCTTGGATTAGAACCCATATCACAGCCTCACAGTCTGAAACATTGGAATACTCCACCCATCTCGAATAGTCAGCTGGCGAAGTCTCGGGCTTTAAAGCTGTATGACACGGGTTTGAATCACACACAAAGCACTAATCATTTCAAAAGTGAAGGTATGTCTTGCTGACGAGTGCCAAGTACCACGAAACCTAGGTTCAAGTTTTCCTGTGGACCACCTCCAACCACCTAACATCAAGGTGTAGAGTAGTTACTTAGACTAATAGCCACTTTGTGGCTTCACTGACTGAATTCGGTCAACTCTAGTAACCAGATAAATATTACACTAACTACCATTCGATGATATATCAATGTATTTTTAACTTGTAATGTAATATTTCTGAATCTTTAGGAATTCAAAATATTTTTTTTTCAGGTTGACATATTTAAATTTGGCAAATAACAGATTTACTACTGTACCATTATTAAAGTCAACACCACTAAAAAGACATCAGATTACTAAAGCTCAGAATAATTCTACAATTGAAAATATATCGTTTTCAAAATCTCCCACCAGTCTAAATGAAACTATTCAACATGATAGCTTGTTAATTGGTTATAACGAAAAGGATGGAGATAACAAGTAAGTTTTATCTGATAGTACATATTATCAATCGAAAAGTTAGTGACTTAGATTGAAAATAGATTGAACCCTAAAAATGGATCATTTGAGAAATATTCAACATATACTTCATCGATAACGTGGAATTGTATGTACCATACCACCATTTATTCTGAAAATATTTTCTAACTAGTATAAAAGTATGATTGAAGAGAACTAGTAGTGGATGTACCAAGTTAGGGTGTTATTGCATAAAGTCATTTACTGTTGATTTAAACAGTACGGAATTGTCCAAACTTCATAATTGTCATCCACCAGATAATCGTATTCAGTGATTAAAGACATGAAACTACTCAGAGTGAATTGAAACGATACATTTGTTTTTAATTATTATTTTCTTCTAAATCTTTAGCTCTAATAGTACTTTAGATTTTTCACTTCGTAGCTTTTCTCATTACTTTTTCAATAAAGTCTACTTATTCACCCTTATGAATAACGTTAGTTATATCATTATTCCTCTCTATCTTGTCGATTTGTCCCAGTATAACTCGCATGTTCTATAGAAACCTTTTTAGATGGACACTTTCAGTAAGCTCCATGCTCCTTATAACTAGCTAAGGAAATTGTCGAGTTTCATAGTTTAAATTGAGAAGTGACAACCAAGAAAAACTGGATAGCTGTTTTGTACTACAATGGGAAATCTCGTCAGTGAGCACCCAACTCAGTGATCTGAAGTTTAAGAACTCAAATATGGTTTAGCCGAATCAATTAGTGATTCCAACTATTTTCTTAGCTGTCTAGTCTTAATCGTAGGATAAAACTCACAGATGCTGTTGTCCCTCTAAAGATTGAAACTACTCGCATTTGATGAGTTTTCACTAGCAAGAAGGTTCAATTCAGAGCATCCCTGAAATAGTCTCCAAACTTTTAACAGTAAAACAAAATTCACTACAGTATCAAGCCTTTTAGAATAATAACCACATTTCAACTTGATTGATAGGATTTTATTAGGAAAGGAAGACTAGGCATTCACGAAGTTGGTTACTACTCAGTGATCAATAAGTGTAAATATATCTATCATGTAGGAATTCGTTCACATTTGAACCAACTCAGTGATAACATCTCTTTGATGTAATAATGAGTGAGGTGAGTTGAAATACCTCAAAGTAAATCTACTTTGAAGGCTTTGAAATTCTAGACTATTGAATTGAACTTCCACTCAATGATATATCCTTCTAAGTAAAAAATTTGAGGGTCTTGGATTAGGGTTCGTGTGGCGCTGTGAGTGTATGTGCTTACTGATGAAGATTAGCTCAATCTAACGAAACTACTATAGAATGTACCTTGATTTCTACTGATTCCTTTCTTAGTATCAGCTATTAATGAAAGCAATCTTAAACTTATCTTAATCAGAAAAAGAGTTGACAGAAGAGAGCTGTAGGTACGAGTTTCTGATGAGTGCCAACGAGCGCGAACTCTGGGTCGACTAAGGTTTCCTAATGGCTACTGATGTATAGAGTTCAACCACCATCAAGGGTTAGACAAACGTGATAATGGTTATCACTCAGTGGTTAATCATTTGTAACTGTCTCAGTCTTACGGGAGGTCAATTGCTGCTCATTTAGACCAAAGTCCTGGGTGGGGTGGATTCGAATCTCAGAGGTAGTATCAGTTTTCTCAAGATTGCAGGTACGCTTTGTTGACGAAACCAAGGTCCCGGATTTCCTTCCTACTACCCTCAACCACCAAACAAATAGATAGGTAAATTCAACACCGTGACCGAAATTTTCCACTCTTTTAAAATTTATTTTAAGCCATTTAGTGAATGTAAATGTCATGTTAGCAACCAGCTTATTTACTACTTTTGTGTATACTATCAATCTACTTTAATCATTTCAAGTAGCATATTCTTATAATACAAATTTTTTTTAAATATTTTCTTTCTACCGTTGTCATTTTCATTGTTTGACTAATTGTAATTTTTGAGGAGTTTAGTGATAAATGGGAGATCCATGAAGACTTCATATCATCACAAATGGAGTTCTGATGATTCTTCTGGTTCCAACAAAAAACAGTTGACAAACAATCTGTGTAAGATAGTGAACAAACGGTCTTTGGAAAAAACAAATAATTTATCTTCTCTCACAAGAAAGGAGCCTCGGGAACAACAACAAAATATAAAAAGTACTGATATTTTAATACTATTTCAAGTTTTTCTATAGGATATCTGTTTAACCGTATTCCACTATTTAAACTCCTGATATGCATAAATAATTCATTGATCCTTTTTCTGGAAGTAAATATGCTCTGAGTAAAGAAGTGTGATAAAATTCTGTAGTAAGTTCAGCTGAAGTTTAGATAAGTAGAATTATGGATGTCGACTTAGATATTATTACCAGTGAATAAGAATATACTTGTTTTTATCATCTCTGAACTACAAATATTTTTTATCATCTCAATATACGTGATCATTTGCGTTTAGTCACAAACGACTTTTGTCTACGCTACATGAATACTTATCTATATTAGACTTGAAGAGGGGAAATTAGCAGCCCGATTGATCGAAAAATACACTTCCTTCAAAGTCATTCCTTTCAAACTTGATGAGTACGTATTCTGAGTCATGTTACTTAACTACTCGAGTTAATAATGGCGGCGATGATTATTACATATACGTAGCCCAACGACGAAATACTAACTACAAGTTAACATCGAATAACATAGTTTAATTCTGGTGTTTTTCCCTCATTCGCTTTAGACTTTTCTCACAACTTGTTAATAATAAACACTTATTCTTTAAATTGTAAATATACATTAATTTTGTATCCATTCTTCTTTTCAGACTGTTCTCTATCACTAGATGAACATAGAAATCCGAATGCTCCACGTGTACGCATAGTAGACGAATTTATTGGTTTATATAATTTGAAGAAGTTATTTCCTTTAATTCATGATAAGCAAACAAAATGTAATCATCAAGGTGATTGTAAGTCTATTCAGTTAGATTCTGACTTTCATATGCACAAATCAAATTCAGGATTACCATTAACAGCTAAAGAAAGATCTACACCTGATCGGACTTTTACAACAGATGAATTGGTCTCATTGGACAATGAAGAAAATGTGATATTCAATCGAAAATTGTACCACCACCATTTCAATCTCTTCAGTCTATTGATTTATCTCATAATAGGGTAAGTTACAATACCGCCCTAATTAAACTTTAATCGGATAGGATATTTCAGAAGAAAATAACCCAGGGTTATTAATTCGGTGAACCATAATTTTCGATCATTCATTTACTGTTGGTGAAGTTCTAGTTGGCAAGTTATTTTAGCTTCTCTGGTTAGTCCATAGAACTGTATAATGAAATCGTGACTGATAAACTGAATAGTTTATATCACTGACTGACTATAATTAGACAATAATTGAAAACCATGAAACACTGGGTAGCTCGCTTTTTGATCCAGACATGGGACTCCTCGGAAGTGCACATATACAATCTTATCAGGGGCTGAACCCAGGACCTTCAGGTCGCCCGAATAGCGCTTAACTTTCAGACCACTTAGTTGACATTTAGTAGTTGACGTTTCTAACTCCAATCAATGTGCAACATCGCCTATCCATCCGTTAATATCATTGGGGAGTAACTCTTCATTGGACACCGATTTATTAGTCACAATGTTAGGTGCATTTCGCAATACTTAAAGATCATGGGTTCAAGCCCTGGTAAGATCGTGTATGTACACTCTTGAGGAGTCCCGTGCTATGATGAGAAAGCTAGCTATCCAGTGTTTCCTGGTTTTTAGTCAGTGTCTAACTAAGGTCGGTTCATCATGTGAATGTTAGAAATAAAGTAGTTGTCGATTGCATATCTAAAAAATAAGGATGAACTGGTGAAAACAATGACTGGTCTATTGATGAAACATTCTTCACTTGGAAGCTACCTCTCAAAAATTAATTTATCTAAATCAATAAAGTATATAATAATAATAATAAATCTTAATTTTTCCATAATCCTCAAAAATTATTTCATAGATATCCTGCGAAGAACACCTATTGCCTATTGCTGTATGGCCGAAATTGAAAGAATGTATCATCTATGCCAATCCTATCATAAGTAAATCATCTAGAATTCCCCCATTACTTGAACGTTTATTAATACAGCAATTACATATTAATCTATGTCGAAATCCAATTGATAATCCAAATTTATTTGAAATCAAGAATACCAGTTTATTGGAAAGAAATGAATTAAATAGCTGTTTACAACATATATCACCTACACAAAATCAAAATTTTGGGAATAACGATATCACTATTGTTAGTAGTGGTACTAATACAATGAACAGGTTATCTCATAAAAATATTCCAAAATATAAAATGGCATTGAATAAAGATAAGGAGGGTAAATCATATCATTCCAGTATGAAACCAGTTGTTATTCGATATAAGTAAGTGTAATATTACGACAATTTTTCTTTGTTGTCAATTGTAAATAAAGTAATGACAGTTTCTAAATGTTCTTTACATATCAATTTTTAACTTGTTAAATATCTTAATAATAATCAGAAAATAGTTAGTAAGGGGTTATGTAGATTCGTGGCTTGTATTGAAATCCCAAATCGATCTAAGACAACTGTTGAAGACTGCGTCGGGCGATGGGAAATGGTCACACGATATCATACATTGATTAAAGTTACGCATATACACCACTGGTTCTCTACTCAACGTTCTAGAGTTTAAGTGTTGACTCGTAATACCGAAGGTCCTATGTTCGATTCTTAATTCTGGGTCGTGGATGCCCACTACTGAGGAGTCACATACTAGGACGAAATGACCTCTTAGTGCTTCCAGGTTTTTAAGAGTTGTCTAATTTAAATCGGTTCGATGAAACTGAAAAGTGTTATTACAACCAATCTTAAGTTTTCTCGGTTGCACGAGCAAATCAGTATTGAGAGGAACTTAAAGACCTTTGTGTGGAACTTAAAATGTAATGCTACGTAACATGGATGACTTATACACAACGTTCTCAGTATAGCGTGAAGCATGTCGAGATAAAAATACATCCATAGAAACATTTAATTCTTGAAATGAAATCTTTGGTGAAAACCAAATTTCAGTATCCAGTTCTTCCTTACTAAATGAAAGAGAGAATAGACGAAAATTTCAGATTAAATACAATTATTTAACATTGAAAAAGTTGCGAATAACCTAAGACCCCAGTATTCAATTTATAAAATGTCTCATTAAAGCTACTTATCAGTGGTGATTGAACCTCCTAGGATTAGTGTAAAAAAAACTCATTTATCATATAGTGAAAATAACAATGTGAAAGCGAAATCATACAGAAATTCATTTCAAAATAAATTAACAAAAAGACGTTCCCATTTTTTTCTTAATTTGTCATAGTAAACATGGAACCAAAACACAGCATTACTAATACGCTAAACAAATAACTTTCTCTTATAGCATAAATACTTAAAAATGATCAAGTTGTTAATATACATAATTCTTAGAAGATTGTTTCATCATGTAATTTTACTGTCCTTTTATCGGATTTATGCATAAATATTGTGAAGACTATGGGAAATAGTTTATAAAACTACTTCTAACGTTATAAAGGGTTCAAACATATGATGATTTTGATAGTGAATGGATTTCTGTAACAACGTTTAAAAACTCGTATTTTAAATTAAACCTTCATTTATATTTAAAATTCATAACTCTTCTCCAGATAAATTATTCCCCGTAATAACCACATTGTCTAATAAGTGGATTAAATTATCAAAATCGTTATAACGTCTCTCAACGAAACGTGCATATTTTTACCGACACTCTAATAGGAATCAGGCTCTATAAACTGTTTACTTAATGAACTTTTCTTGAATAATCGATATTTCTTACTTCATTATGAAAAGTATCTATTTTATTTTTGGAAGATATAGTCACAATCATCTGTGATTTTTTAAACGGAGAGGAAGTACATTTTGATCTAAGTTCTATGCTCATTCACATTCATTTATATTATGATTATAAATTTTTTCACGACAATTATTCCTCATGAGAATTAAAGCATATCTTTAATTAGATACTCAAGATAGGTATGAAAACTATAAAACTTTAGTTAATAAACTAGGATCAATCAGAAATAAGCAACGTAGTAGTACATGGCACATATGTGTATCAGCTCAAGCTTCGACATAGGAAGATGGAATCATAAAGGGAGTGAAAGTAATAACAGAGAAAAGAGTAAGCATTGAGAAACTATTTTTTTCGGGAAGAAAGAATGAAGTCAAGGAATAAAAAAATATCAAATCTTAAAACTCAAAATCTAAGGGAAGATAAAGAGTAAATGTATCTTCACTATTGGAATGAATTCTAAGTTATTTCGCTCAATGTCCCTAACCATTAGTTATGATAAGCTTGTTGATTCCAACTAGATCCATTCAATTATGTCAAATATGGAAATTTTTCAATATTTATAGATGTGTTATTTTCTCGCTTTTAGGTTAGACAAATCAAGTTTAGATTTAGGTCCAAAGATGATTAAATGTAATGTAAACCAAATATTAGATAAAATGAAAATATCAAATCAAACGAACTTAGTTAATCCATCACAATTATCACTACCAACTACAACAGTAACATCCATAGCATCAGTTAAATTATCAAACTTATCTAATTCATCAATCTTAAATGATTCATTTCAAGATAATCCCTCAATGTACAATAAAATTTCACATTCTCTACAGTTACCTACTATTGAGAGATATAAAACTTTTATGAAAAATGATTCACAAAAATTAGATCAAAACTTACCAGAATTTTTGGCAAATCTTCAATGTGACGAACAGATTGAAGAAGAAAATGAGGATATGAATAATTTTTTTACAACTCAAGTATGCTTTTGGTGATTTTTGTATTAAAGTAATGATAATAATAATAATCATAATGATTAGCATTGGATGACTGAATTTGCCTAGCTAATATTTCTGGTCATGTGATTACTATCCCAGATGTTGTTGGAATACATTTTAGAAGACAGGACCACAAGCTGACTGATTGAGTACACGAATATATATTAGGGAGTTAGAACTATGGAATAGATGGATTTGTAGTTGACGGTGTAGTCATAGATGGGAGTTTTGTCCCATCAAGAACCTGTCACTGGATCTAAGTGAATCATAGTTCTGATGTCTATACCTAGACTCGAACCCAATACCTTTCGCTTCATACACCCAAAGTGTTATCCACTGAATTACTGAGTTCACGCAGCCACGAGACCTGGTAACGGATATGATATTTATGTAATTACTAAAAATGATTTGAATTATTCCATTGTTGATTTTCTTGACTAAATTTTGATACTGTTTGTTGTCGTATGTGAATCTTTTGGAAGTTACCTCAATATGCCTATTTTCACAAGTTTTTATAGAATAGGTGTTATATCTAGAACTTGGATTTTTGCTATACCGCATACAACTTGGCACTCAAACGCTAGAACCCTCTAAGACGCAAGTTAGAAGACTGAGACGAGTAGGAAAGAATCTTATTTCAAATAGTGTCAAATATCATACAAAACACTTAGGTATTTATAGTTTTTAGCGAAAATAAAATCATAATTACAGTACTTTTTAGTATTTGTTTAATCGAGAAGCTACACATCGAGATTCTTGAATGTTCTTCTAAACGATGACTGGATGGAATGTCTTCGACTCTTTCAGAGTTTCTTAAGGCTTCCTTGAGTTCACTGGGAACCGTCTCCGTAATAAGTGAAATTAGAAACCAAGTGAATAACGTGTTCGGCTTTAGAAGCAAAAGGTATTGGACTCGAGTCTCAGTATTGACTCTAATCTAATTTCCAGGTGCATCCAGATGACGACTCCCAAATAAAACGAAACGTCTGTACTCGATTCTACTGATAGTCACATGCGAAATATACTAAAATTCACAATATAACTATATATCGAGGCACTCTACCCAGGATGATAATATTTCAGCAGAGGTTGGTCAGTTGTAATCCTGAATATCAGTAACGCGAAACTACAAACGCTTACTAATTTCGGCTTTAGTATTAAAATATGCCAATTTGGGATTAAATGCAGCAAAACCAGCCATATAGCAGTAGTGCGCAAATTCGCCAACTACTAGTCTAAGTTCCCAGCTGAGCGCAGTGGACTCATTACTTTAAATTTCTAAGATGACAAAATCAGGTATCCAAGGACTTTATCTGACATTTCTCATGATTATTTTTACTGTAAATGTAATTTATTCTGTAGTTAATTTCAAACACTGAACATCTAATTGTTCTTAGATATACCTTCATAAATAAGATTATTTTGTTACACCAATTATTCACTCATTTGTAATATGGCCAGTTGTTCGCTCACTCAGTTACAGGTAGCTTAAGGCCTGGATCAAATGAACTTCAGCCGAGGTCTCAACATATCACGTCACCAAACTGATATAATGTTAACACGAAGTTCAAATTTACTTCACTCCATATAGTCAGTTTAGTTACTGTTGAAAATAGATCCCAAGTTATACTTTGCACTTAATAATAGAGTGACCATTTCTGCATAGGCACTCTTGGAGTTCATAAGATTTTTACATTTTACTGGTGTCTTTAGTGGATAGAACCAAAATTTATGCTAAGGTGACGATATAATTAGTCAATTTTTAAGAATGTCAAAGTCTTGCTAGTACGAATAATCGCGAGTGCTGAATTATTAAATCAATTTTTTGCATAACTTTTGCCCTTTTCTGTTGGTCGCCACTAATGTTAGTTCGTTGATATCTTGTCTGTTTCTAGATCACGTATTCATTACCATATATATCGACTTTCACTATTTCAATTTTCTCTTATTGAATATCAAGTTCTTCCTACTATTCGTCTTCTTCCTGTGTTAGTATTGTGGGATAACTATCGTCCTACCAGCTCCGTAACAGAACCGTCCGTATTAGAATAGCGCATTCACTGCTTGATTTGCAACTATCGTAGGCCAACCAGGTTGCAAAATACCTAATCAGTTTTACAAAAATTTACCACTCTAACAAATCTAATATTCTAAAATACTTAGTAATATAATTGCTCATTTTTAATACGAGTGCTTGATTTCTTTTGATTCTCAACGAAACTGTGTTAAAACATACATGCACATGTGCCTCATTTATTAGTTTGTTAATGATTAAGCTCTCATATTTGATCTCCTCCATTCACATCTTCTAATTCACCTACTTTCATTAAATTAATGTTCAAAAGTTGACAGAAGCGTTTACTTTCAACACATTTATAAAACATATTCCAGTCTCTGTAAAGATTGAAACAGTTATGAATTCAGTCTTAAAATATTTAAAAGACTATGATGATTAATTCTATACATTTTGTTTTGAAATACCTTTCCGTTATTGATTTACAATATCTCACTGATTGTTATTTTTAACTATCACTGATATCGTTTCACTTACAATACGTTTAATTAATGAGACAAAATTAATTAAATTATCTTAATTCATTCTTATTACAATCTATTTGGAACAAGTTAGATGATTTTGTATTGTTATGATTTACACCATGTTATAACTGTACATTATAATATTTGGATTAAGACATTATGTTCATTCACTGGTTACATTTCGTCGTAGAACTAACATTATTACATTTAAACGTAAAGTACCTGAAATATGAAGTGATTTACATAAATCATATAATAAATCATGGATCAATTTAAATCAATGAAATTGAACTTTACAAAGCTTCATACATAAAATTGGTATATTTGAACGATATTCGGTAAAGTTATACTACACTGATGTCCTTTAGCGACTTATCAACCGATCGGGTAACGCTACTTAATTATAAAACAAATAGTAGTAAAAAGCAATTTAACCATAGTGGACTAGTGGTTTTGATATGATAAATGATTCATTCCGTGTTAAATTATCCATTATGATAAAGGAAAAACGTTTAAGTTTATATGATATAAGTTAGGCTAGCGTTGTGAGTTATGGTTAAAACGTCATAGGGTTTTCATAACCGATTAATATCAGCTTTAATGCATAAAGGATTGAGTTAAGTAATAGGAGTTAATTTAGATTTATTTGTTGGGATAATGAATTAAGATTAGGGTTTTAATCATGAACTGACATTAGCTACAATCTAGTGATACTTTGAAACCCTTTTTGTTTATTTAGTGTTGTCATAAGTTGAAGTGGAAGAATAATATCTAGTTACATAAAAACCCTTGAGCATTGATTAAATCACACCAAGTACTTTAACACACTACTTGGTATATTTAATCAATTACAAGAATTTTAAGAATTACATATTACCAATTCTCCATTAGTTAATACTCCACCTGTAGCTCTCCTAGAGTTACCGCCGGTCCCAAGCCCGGGTAAAGAATGAGGGTTGGGCATGGGGTTAGCGTCCCCATCCCGTGGAAGACTAACTCGCTAAAAAAGCGCTAACCATAAAAAACAATTCAAACCATTTAAACTCTGCCCTTGGAGTTAGAAGGTCTTCATTTAGAAGAACTATGACACCTCATGATGTAAGCCGAGTTCCCTCGAAAGCCACGAGGCCGATGCCCCTTCTAACAACCAGAGCAACAGTTTTTATGGGTACATGAAACGTCTGAACAATGTGGGAGACCGGGAAAACCAGTCAAATAGCAACGGAAATGAGGAGATACAACTTTGCAGTATTGGGAATCAGCGAAACCCACTGGACCCAAGCTGGACAACAAAGGCTAAATACAGGAGAGATGCTGCTATACTCCGGCCATGAAGAGGAAAAAGCTCCAAACACTCAGAGAGTTGCTCTAATGTTGTCCAAAGTAGCACGAAGTGCACTTGTAGGATGGGAATCTCACGAATCCAGAATCATCAAAGCAACATTCAAAACAAAGAAGAAGGGGATCACAGTGAATATTATCAAATGTTATGCACCCACCAATGATAGCAACGACGACATTAAAGATCAATTCTATGAGAGGCTGCAATCAATCATAGAGAAGTGCCCAAGAAAGGACCTCACCATTTTGATGGGAGATCTAAACGCCAAAGTCGGAATAGACAACACCAAATATGAAGATATCATGGGACGACATGGACTGACTGGGAGAGAGAAACGAAAATGGAGAAAGATTTGCAAATCTGTGTACATTCAACAAATTGGTCATAGGAGGCACAATATTTCCACACAAACGTATACACAGAGCTACATGGATCTCACCGGACCACACTACAGAGAACCAGATAGATCATATTTGCATCAACAAAAAATTCCGAAGGACAATGGAAGATGTGAGAACCAGGAGAGGAGCTGACATAGCTTCATACCACCACCTAGTTGTGGCCAATTTAAAACTGAAGCTAAAAAAGAACTGGACAAGTGGACAAACAGCACTACAAAGGTTCAATACAGCCTTCCTTCGAGATACTGACAAACTCAATGAATTCAAGATAGCTCTCAACAACAGGTTCCAAGCCTTACAAGATCTACTGAAAGAAGAAGAAACTAGTATGGAGGACAACTGGAAAGGCATCAAGGAAGCATTAACTTCAACGTGTCAAGAGGTTCTGGGCCTAAAGAAACACCATCATAAGGAATGGATCTCTATAGAAACACTGGACAAGATCAAAGAAAGGAAGAACAAGAAGGCAGCAATTAACAACAGCCGAACACGAGCAGAGAAAGTCCAAGCACAAGCTGAATACATAGAAGCAAACAAACAAGTGAAGAGGAGCATTAGAGCCGACAAGAAGAAATACGTGGAAGAACTAGCAACGACGGCAGAAAAAGCTGCTAGAGAAGGAAATATGAAACAGCTTTACGATACAACGAAGAAACTAGCAGGGAAATACAGTAAACCAGAGAGGCCGGTCAAAGACAAAGAAGGCAAGCCAATCACCGAAATTCAACAACAGCGGAACAGATGGGTAGAGTACTTCGAGGAAATTCTGAATAGGTCAACTACAATGAATCCACCGGACATCGTAGCAACACACACAGATCTTCCTATAGATGTCAATCCACCAACGACGGAAGAATTTAAAATGGCCGTCAGACAAATAATGAGTGGGAAAGCAGCAGAACCCGATAATATACCAGTTGAAGCACTGAAGTGAGACATCAAAGTAACTACAAACATGCTTCACCTTCTATTCAAAAAGATTTGGGAGGAGGAACAAGTGCCGACGGACTGGAAAGAAGGACACCTCATCAAGATTCCAAAGAGAGGAGATCTGAGAAAATGTGACGACTACAAAGGCGCCACACTATTGTCTATACCAGGGAAAGTCGTTAATAGAGTGTTGCTGAACCGGATGAAAGACTCAGTAGACACCCAACTTCGAGATCAACAAGCTGGATTCCGTGAGAATCGGTCGTGCACAGATCGAATCGTGACACTACGGATCATTATTGAACAATCAGTTGAGTGGAATTCGTCACTATACATCAACTTCATTATGAAAAGGCGTTTGATAGTGTAGATAGGAGAACACTATGGAAACTTCTTCGACACTACGGAGGTCTTGAGAAGATTGTCAATATTATCCAGAACTCATATGATGGACTACAGTGCAAGGTCGTGGATGGAGGACAGCTGACAGATGCATTCCGAGTAAGGACCGGAGTCAGACAAGGCTGTTTACTCTCTCCCTTCCTCTTACTCCTCCTGGTCGACTGGATTGTGAAAACCTCGATATCTGAGGAAAACATGGCATACAGTGGGCAGCTCAGAATCAATTAGACGATTTGGACTTCGCAAACGACCTATCGCTCCTATCGCATACACATGAACAAATGCAGATAAAGACAGCCAGTGTATCAGCAGTCTCTGCATCAGTAGGCCTCAACATACACAAGGGGAAAACCAAGGTCCTCAAATACAACACGGAGAACAGCAATCTAATCACTCTTGATGGAGAAACTCTGGAAGATGTAGAATCCTTCACACACCTGGGAAGCATCACCGATGAACAAGGAGGTTCAGATGCAGACGTAAAGACGAGGATTTGCAAAGCAAGGGTCGCATTCCTACAATTGAAGAACATATGGAACTCAAAACAACTTTCAACCAATATCAAAGTCAGAATCTTCAATTCGATCGTTAAGACAGTCACTTCTATTGTACGGAGCTGAAACTTGGAAAACTGCTACAAAGATCATCGAAAAGGTACCAGTATTTATAAACGGTTGTCTACGCAAGATACTCAATATCCGTTGGCCGGATACCATCAGCAACAGCTTACTGTGGGAGAGGACAAACCAGCTTCCAGCTGAAGAAGAAATTAGGAAAAGACGATGGAAATGGATAGGAAATACATTACGCAAATCGTCAAACTGCATCACGAGGCAAGCCCTAACTTGGAATCCTGAAGGGAAGCGGAAAAGAGGAAGGCCATGGAGCACATTACGTCGGGAAATCGAAGAAGATATGAAAAGGGTGAATAATGACTGGAAGGAGCTGGAAAGGATTGCCCAGGACAGGGTTGGATGGCGAATGCTGGTGAGCGGCCTATGCTCCTTCACGAAGAGTAACAGGCGTAAGTAAGTAAGTAAGTAAGGTAATTAGTTAATAATATCATATAAGCTATCTTTCATTGTACTTTCAATTTCGTGCGAAAATCTACGAGTCGCTACCTTAATTCTTCATGGTTCACTCAAGGTCATCAGTATAGTATACTTTTATCGAACACCTTTATCACTCAGTGAATTGTCCTATGGGCTACTCGTTATTTGTATGAGAAGTAGATTTCATACATTTTTAATTATGAAAGCATACTTTCGAGTCTATATACTTCCATTTCATACTCTATAAATTATCATTCATTTTAAACGGGAAAATACTGAACCATCGTAGATTATTTAATCTTAATTTTCTTTTCTCAATTTAGTTATCATCAGTAAATACAACAAATCCAACAGAACATCATACTTCAAAATTTAGTCATTCTGATTATATTCAATTTCATCAACAAAATAATACTGAAAATGACAATGATCAATCAGATGAATATTGTGAGGATAAAACATTAATTAAATGTCCAACAACTTCAGGACCGTTATTATCTAATTTAGAATGGATTATTGATGAAAAACGTCTTCCAAACAGTAAGATTATCGTTATTATTGTTCTTGTAAAAGGTTACAACAATATCAAATATGATTCAGTTAATTAATTTGCCATAAGCAATTTTATTTATTTATTTGAACACAAAAATATTGGTACAAAGGGGCACCGAATACAAATGCGCCACACAAGTCATTTGATTTGTGTGTATACTGTGATACTGCCCGGGTGCCCAGACACCAGTGCCACGAGAAGGCAGTGAATAGGACTTCCCTGGGCGTGGCTGTGTACGCGTGGTTATGTGAGAGTATTTCGAAAGAGAGGCATGACTCTCCCCACTCTCGACTGTACCAGAGCATTTGGGAGCTAAATGGAATGTCATAAGAAATGTACAAACTGGCACATACGTGTATCAGTTCGATTTGCTATATTATATCAGTGCATTGAAATGAAATTTTCAACACAAATGTGAGGACAGGAGAAATTGTAACGGTATCAGTGATAATGGAAACATAGACAATATGATTCGAGAAGACAGAATAAATTCGTGGAATGAAAAGTACAACATGATCATGCAACTACTTAAACGACTCTGTCCAATATTTACTAACTTCATGAACTGATATCAAATTTAATTTGTCCTCTCATAGCTTTCGTTTGTACTACTACCCCTACAACAATGAACATCAATTATCAAAGTACACGATAGTTACGTATTTGTTATAATAATAACAACCTGTGAATATCCTCTGTTTTTTAAAGGTCACATTAAATAATCATATAATGAGTAAACGGATTTAAAAAGTTGGATAGAAGGTGAAATATCATAGACTTTGGAACTTTTTTATCCCAATGATAAGGTTTCACGGAGAAACTATAATTTATGGACGAACCAATCAAATTTAAGTTACCAGGTCTTGGATTTTGGCTCAAAATTCATTCATCCATTCGGCTAAATAGCGTTTTGGCATTATAGCTTATGTCATTTGGTGATGAAAACCCCAAATCTAATTCCTAACACTAACCATCAACTGTAAATCATAGTCCTAATTCTTCACACCGGTTTCTAACTCTCATTTAACACTAGTAAGTAGGTGGGGATTTTCAAGGTCACTTTAGCATCTCTCAAAGGTCATCCATAAATTATAGTCTCACCGGTTTCACAAGTATATAAGAAAACAGAAAGACTTGTTAAAGACTTAATAAAGAAATAAAGTAAATAATTTAATCAATCATAATCAATACAGATTCGAGGACAATTGTATATCAGTTCAAATTATCATGTTACATAATCATAACGAAATTAATTAATGTGATGAACAGGAAAATAACTGAAATAACAATAATAATATTGAAACAAACGATAATGAGGTAGCCTAAACATTAGAAAATACAGATAATTGAATAGTTTTCTAAAATGGAATAAGTAATTTGAGAAAACCATAGAGACGAAAACAGTATAAATAAGCCAAGTTTATGATATTACAGTCACACATTGTGAGGATGATTTATGATGTAATAATTGAAATGATGGCGGTTGTGTTGTGTTTCACCAAGTTGGTTGATTTGACTGACAGGAATTTCATTGCTATTCAGGACGACATCATTAGCGATTACTTGATATTATAGACAAACTGTTTGGTTAAATCGACCTGTTTTGACGACTCTGTCAGTGTACAATTTTTTTTCGAAGATTTTGTCGATTTTATTTGTCATTGTATTCCTGTTCAATATTTTGTTTTGTTGATGCAGGTTTTTAGTAGTTTAAATAGTAATAATTTGGTATTTTGTAGTAACCTCAATGTTTTCTTTTGTTAAAGTAGAACTTTTTTTGCTTTCATCTTCATAAGGTATGCAAGCATGTTTAAGAGAGCTACGTTATCTTTTACAACATAAACCTACAATTCATGCACATAGTTATCAACATATCATCTGTCCACCATTAACACTACCTCGAGATAATCATCAGTCTATAGAGTACTCAACAGCATCATTATCATCATCATCATCACCCAAGTTGATAGAAAATGTAATCAATTCTAAGGTTCAAGTTTCTTCAGAAAAATCATGTAATCAAATATCATCTAAGAATAAAATACCTCCAAGAAATACCTCGTCATCGTCGTTATCATCAATGAAATTGGTTCCAGTTTGTAATGGTTTAGAAATTCTTCCTTCAAAACTTAATTTAAATCAATTTACAGGTTTCACTGAAATCCCATTGACAAAAGTAAGTATAAATAATTAATGAAATGTATAAATTGAATTGTTAATATTAATGTGTTCAATTGCTGACCTTTCTACCTTGATTATATACTTACTTACTTACGCCTGTTACTCCTAATGGAGCACAGGCCGCCGACCAACATTCTCAAACCCACTCTATTCTGGGCCTTCTTTTCTAGTTCCATCCAATTCTTGTTCATTTTTCTTATGTCTATAGTCACATGTTAATTTGTAATTTCATTTAATTTGACCTTAACACTTGGTAAAGTGAACAACATTAAAGGATAGGCCAATTCATTAATACTTTTAAAACATGCCATATCATTGAAAGGTTATGTTTATCAATCTATTTCTATTAAAAAAATTGTACCAAAAGTATGAATTTCTAAGTAAAAAGTAAGTAGACAACTTGTTTTAAACCAGTTACATTTCAAAAGTTGAACTTATTTATTGTAATTGATTATCAAGACAGGTTCTTTAAACTATTGATCAGTCATAAGCAACGTAGAATTTGTCATATCAGTCAGTCAGCTACAACTTAGGATCAGGTACATATATGCATCGGTCCAAGTTGCCACACCTCATTAGCATAGTAAGATGAATACCGGATTCATAGAAGCAGTTAACTCAATGGTGGTAATATATAAAAGAAACATTTTGTGTGAGAATATAGTACAGTACAGTCATATACATGCATAGATTTGATTTGTTACATTATATAAGTATATTAAAATGAAATTATCAATATAAATGTGAGAATAGTAGAAGTAATAATAGTATCATTAATAGTAGAAATGATTAGATACATATATTGTGATTCGTAAAGTAAGAATGATAAAGAGTGAATTCATTTGCAACATTCTAAGTAATTCTGATTCATCTCATGCAAGATTTCCAAACACGGATTACAATAATCACATGGATCTCAATCAAGTAGTTTGTACTTACCAACATGGCTTAATCCAATAGTCAGTGACTTCATCAAGGATAAAAGTTAGGTTGTAGTTGAAATATACTTTTTTTTTTGATAGAGCATCAAATTCTTACAGAATATTTCTATCAGAGAAAAAGAATTCTAAGTTTCTATGAAACTAATAGGTCATATGGTATAATAGTAACAATTATGAACTATATTGTATATAGAATTCTTTTATCTTAAGAGAAATTTTTCAATGAACTTTAACCTAAAACGAATCGGTCTTTGCTACTGTCTGTTCATTCATAATAATTAATAATAATGATAATAATGGAGTAGATGAATTATGACTAGCTGTGGAATTCAATGAGCTTCTCATTTAAATGTAATTGTATCCCATTGTTGCTGTTCACGCTGAGAATCGAACCCAATACCTCTAGCTTCAAACATTAGAACATCAACCACTCAGCTACTAAGTGGATATAAACACTAACATATCTAATGAGTATTATTTTTACATCATTGAAGATTTTGAATTTATTCCATAAACATCAATACTAGGTTGCAGGTATATTTGGTTAAAGAATTCAAAATAGGAAGAAACTTATGTCCAGGATTTTACTGCTATCTACATTTCGTCTGTTCTAAAAAAAGAGGCTTGTGATAAAACATTTATATCGATTTAATTCACACAAGACTAATCAAAATTGATTCCTGAAAATCAGTAATAGGGAGTTAAGAACTCTTACTAATAATGCGAATAATAATAGTAACTTTACTTCATATTCCATGTTTGGTTACAATAAAGAGTTCTCAATATAAAATATCCGATTTTGTTAAAAATTCCACGTTACCATATATCTTAAGTTAAATCACTCAAATAGATATGGAGTTCAACCTTGTTGAGTTTAAGGAATATTGTAGATTGATTGGAGATAGAGTTATATACCGCTAGATCCAAGTTCAGTGGTCTAGAAGTTAAATGTTTTCACTCAAGGCTGAGTGTCCTGAGTTCAAATTCCATTAATGGGGTTGTGAATGTACACTCCCGAGGGGTTTAATGCTAGAACGAAACAATCGTCATTACTTCCAGGTTTTTAATCGTTGTTTAACTTGAATCGGCTCATGGTGTTAATAAAATGCAACAATCTGTACAAACTCAGATTAATATAATTAGTTTGTTAATAATCAATTTAAAATAAGAAAAATTTATTCCAATAACTGAACAGTTTAAAATAATCCTTGTTGGGTAGAGACAGGTATCTACCTCAGTACAATGGAAGATGGTCGCGCAATTTCGTGGATTGTTTGATGTTAGACACTAACACCATTGGATGCCGGCTCAGTGGTCCAGTAGGTTAAGCGTTCGTGCGCGAGACCGAAGGCCCTGGGTTCGAATCCCACGGGCGGGATCGTGGATGAGCACCGCTGAGGAGCTCAACAATGGGATGAAATGGACGTCCACTGCCTCCAGGTTTCCAACGGTGGTCTAACATCAGTCGGTTCATGGTCTCAATCCAAAATAAATGATTTAAAACTTTGAATAAGCCAACGTCATTTTTACTATTCTCTCAATCTTTAAACAAAAGTTATTAAATCTTCTTTAAAGTGATAATCTTGTATGTTATTTTCTTCTCTCAAAATCAGTGTTTTTGATTGTTAAAGTTTCACAGTTGTTATGGACATTATCAATACCTTTTTATTATTACTACTATTCATTAGCATCATCCTAAGGATTTTATATGAAATTAAATGAGGAATTGTATTTCATTCATCACTAACAAAGTCAATGTAAGAGCCAACATATCTGTTTTCTTTGAAATGACTCTTTCTCTAAACAGTGAGAGGGGGAGAGAGAAAAATCTACCATCAATTCCATTTTGATTCTACATTTTTGTATTTTTTAACAAACAGGCTTTGAAGGATGAAGAAATTCAAAAGAGACAATTGGAGAAAATAAGAGCTAAACAAAATCCTCTTGCTAGAAAATTGAAATTAGTAAAGAATAGTAACCAACCAAAACGTACAAAATTGAAAGGACCTAAAGAATTATTCGAACAAGTTAGTTGTTATTATTCTTAGTAGTACTGTCGGTTGTTACAGTGTACATATTACCGCATGCAATGTCCAGATTTTGTTAATTATGAAGTAATTTATTTTGAAAGGATATATTCTTTTGGTGATAGAAAGGGTTAGATACTTGTCTCTTTACCACTTGAAACCTCTTAACAATAGGCAATACTGATTTGTTGTAATGTTTGTATTGTTGTAATGAGTTTTTTTCTTGAACAGTTAGTTTTTGCTATCCAGATGTGGAATGGACAAGTCTACGCTTATAATTAGTTAGTTGGTCTGTTAGAAATTAGGATTATAAGCTATCTAGGACCAATTTTACTTAAATTTAAATATTCTCCTGGATCAATTGGAGAAGAGGAAGCAACTTCAAAGTCATGATTTACATATCAGTTTATAGTGAGATTTATTGAACCATATAAAACCAGGGTTTCATCCACAGGTCGTGTAATAACCACATTTGACGAAGAAAACGAAGAAAAACTCACACATCAATATGGACGTGAATTAATCATCCATGGGTTAGGACTAGAATTTAGAAGCTCCCTCAAAGAACAACATCTAGAGAATGTGGACTCCGTTAAAAAAACTGTATTTACCGAAACGATTAAAGATCCGGAATTCGATCTGTACTGAGGCTGTGAGTGTCTGTTACTATGAGATCCAATACTAGTACAGAGCAGCTGTTCAATGATTTCTGGTTTTTAATTGGTTGTCGAATCAAAAATCAAAACGTGATGTAGAACCACAGTCGATAATAGCTTCATAAATGTCTGAGTTATTTTCATTAGTTAATTTCCTCTCTTGTAATTAATAACACCGAATGTTTTAACACTAAAACAAACAAGTTATCTTCTATCCTAAGAGTGGCATATAAATTATTTAAAGTTATTATGTTTGGATATATCTATAAACTAGGTTATTTATTCTTTGAAGAAGTGGCTTACACTGAGTCACGAAACGTCAGAAAACATATTACTTATTTATAACAATATACCCAATGCTCAATTTATTCGAAATTATCAAGTCAAACCTTGATAATGATGCCTATAAACCAGGACTGTTTGGATAAAATTCATAAATACCTTATTCGAATCTACAAAGCCAATAAAGTTGATTATTTGTGAAAACTGTATTTGAAATATTCTCAGCGATTGAAATTTAAACAATTCCAGTGTTTCTTCCAGAAAACTTGTCTGGACTTCTTCAGGGTAGTAAGCATAATTAAAATTATCAACGAATATACAATGTTTATTAATCGAGGCAAATTTAAACGTTAGAATTATTTAGATTTCAATCATTGAAATTATTTCAAATATAATTTTCACAAATACTGTCTTCTATAGACTTGGCGTCCAATTTCTGTCATACTATTCACTCAATTATTTATGAATGTACGTATGATATTACTTGCTTACTTACGCCTGTTACTCCTCGTGGAGGAGCGTAGGCCTCCCACCAGGATTTTCGAACTAACTCTGTCTTGAGCTCTTCTTTCCAGTTCTTCCCGAATGTTATTCATTCTTTTGATTTTCCTTGCCAATTCCCGACATAATGTGTTTCTTGGTCTTACTCTTTTTTCTTTTTTCCTTCAAGAGTTCAAGTTAGGACTTGCTTCGTGATGCATTCTAATGATTTCCGCAATTTGTGTATCCTATCCACTTCCAGCATTGTTTCTTGATTTCCTCTTCAGCTGGAAGCTGGTTTGTCCTCTCCCACAGTAAGCTGTTGCTGATGGTATCCGGCCAACGGATATTGAGTATCTTGCGTAGACAATTGTTTATAAATACTTGTACCTTTTCGATTATGTTTGTAGTAATTTTCCAAGTTTCAGCTCCGTACAATAGAAGTGACTGTCTTAACGATCGAATTGAAGATTCTGACTTTGATATTGGTTGAAAGTTGTTTTGAGTTCCATATGTTCTTCAACTGTAGGAACACTGCTCTTACTCTGCCAATCCTTACTGTTATAACTTGTGACGGCCGATTAGAGGGCAGTGACTTATCGATCGGATCAAGGACGTGTAATTCCATATGAGCAGCCTAGAGTCCTGATTGGTCCTGTTTTCTGTCTAGCCCAGCCAGTTAAGTCCAGAACGCCAATCGGAGCCTCTGCGATATGAATCATTATATTTCAAACATAATAAGTTTATATACCAATCACACAGACCACAGCATACCAATAAAATATGAAACAACATTTGTACAAGAATTAGCCGGATGTGACTGTGAATGAGGAGGATAGTAATTAATATACTGGGTACAACTTAAGAATGGTAAAACGTATAATAATAATTTATGGGTCAAAATAAAGCTTATAATAAGAGGAATATGAGTATGCATAGTTTAGTTACTTAATAATTATACAATAGAAATATACGTTTAGTATTGGTTCATAAATGGATCCCGAAAGTTACAATTCATTATTCTTGTCGGGAAATAACACTTACCTTTACGTCTGCATCAGATCCTCCTTGTTTATCGACGATACTGCCCAGATACATGAAAGTTTCGATCTCTCCCAGAGGTTCTCCATCAAGTGTAATTGGGTTGATGTTCCCTGTATTTTATTTGAGGATCTTGCTTTTTCCCTTATGTATATTGAGGCCTATATACGTATAATATAGTCAAAGTTTATTAACAAAATTAAACTAGTGGTTTGCAATTCAATTTTGTAGTTTAATCGATAAGATGTTAGAAATAAGTAACTTAAAAGTGTTTGATTTTTATACAATTCATACTCAAGATTATTTTTTTCCCCATAATTTCAATGATCATTTCTGTTAAGCTTGATTAGCTCTTCAGACTGGTTTGTTTTGAAATTTTATCTAATTCATCTCTTCATTTTGTTTAAATATATTATAGATTCAAGTAATCTATTCAAATGTACGTGAACAAGCAATTACTGAAGCACTGAATACAATAAATCAGGATTTTGATAAGAAAACTGAACAAATTTGTCAAAATATTTAAATGTTTTTATACCGCGTTAAAAATATTTGAATTATATATTATAATGATTATGATTTACATTTGTTTTAATTAAAGATTTTATTTCAATTATGATAAACTATCATATTTCTAATTTGGTGTTTGTCCACAAGATATTTCGAAAGAAATTGAAATAGGTAATTGTATGGTGAACGAAGACTAAGGTGGAGACAATTAATCTTATTGTTTCATACAAAATTGCAGAATATCTTCGTAAAATATAAGAACCATACATTAAATGCTTTATTTATAAATCTTTCATGAATTGTCCTATATATTTTGTATGATTCTTCCAATTGACGATTCTTTTCTATTTCTCTTTCTGTTTCCTTTAATTTGATTTTCTTAGTCTTCTACTGCCAGCCATTCAATTTTTGATTAATGTTGCATACGACTTATGTTGATAGACATAAGTAGCACGCACCACACTCGTCCTTCCTTTAAACAGTTGCTCTTACAGTGGTTCTGCTCACCGTACCACTTTCTCCTCTGCTTCAGTCTCTGCAACGCTCTCCTTCAAAATATCGGGTCCATTGGCATGCTAATCTTTGTAGAAGTGTCGACCAACCGGACCATTTAAATCTAATGTCTGCCCAGCAGTCGCACGTTTCACGGCCCCTCTCCATCGACAGCAACCGCTACAGCCAACACTGCCCCACCAGAACATTCCACTTGACGTCACCTTCCCTTAACAAACCGCCCGAACTAGCACCTCCTCTCCAGGCCCTGTAATGGCGTCCTCAGGACTGTACCCTATCCGCCTCCTGGTTGGCAAAGACACCAAATATAGTGAACGAAGACTCGGGAAATATAAAGGAATCGTCAATTAGGAGGATCACAGAAAATGTAAAGAACAATTGATGGAAGATGCTCATATGAAGCATTAAGTGTATGATTATATTTTACGAAGATATTCCGTAAATTTGTATGATATAAAGAAGTTGTTTTTCCTCACCTGAATCTCGTTCACTACAATTGGATTAAATATACCTGTATAATTGAATATATAATTATTTTGTTTAGGATTTTTTTGAAGTTTGTTCGATTCAATGATAGTCAGTATCTTACTCATTCTACCCTGATAATAATCACTAATTTTCACAACTGACAAGGTTTAAGAAGAGGCTTCTCTGTTTCTAGTAATTTAATTTGGTCAATAAAATGTAATCAAGTTGGGCATGAGATAAATATTATTCATATCATTTAGTTGTAAATACTAATAGATTGGTTGAAGTTAGACATTAATACCGTTAGATGCTGGCTCAGTGGTCTAGTTGGTTAAGTGCCTGGTGCGAGGCTGATAGGTCCTGGGTTCGAATCTCGCGGGGGCGGGATCGTGGATGGGCACTGCCGATGAGTCCCGCACTAGGAAGAAACGGCCATCCAGTGCTTCCAGGTTTTCCATGGTGGTTTAGCTTCAATTGACTCATGATTTCGACCAGTGAAACTAGAATAATGGATAATTCGATATTTTAAATTTTTCTTGTTTCCATTGAAAGTCTTATAAGAGTTATGAGATTTTAGACAGACTTAACACATTGGTTAAATTCTTAAACGTTCATATGTTTTTTTTCGAATTATATCTGACTTTAAAGCTGTCGGCGATTTAAAGTCGTTAATTAACTTACTTAGCCATGTCTTCAATGGACCTTGCATTTAATACAAAATATTGATCATCATTCCAACAATCCATAAAATACTTATAATCATTAATTCAATGCTTGAGAAAATTAATCTAATAACATCAAGCAATATACAGCTTCTATCCTAATTTTGGACTGCCTGCTACTTTAAAAATGAAAATTCAGTCCTTCATCTGTGAAAACCAATAAACTAGGCCACTTGGAAATTTGTAAGTTTTTTAGTACCAGCAGGGGTTTTTGTGAATATTATAGTAACTTCGATAGTTAAGACCATGAATCGATTAAAGCTAGACCATCATGAAAAATCTGGGAGCACTGGACGGTCGTTTTGTCCTATTGTGGGACTCCTTTTTTAGTAAATCCTTGCAACACCTAAAAGTTGTAATAAACCGCCCAAAAATTGCATGATTATTTTATGCTACTTTTAAATTTTCAAGTAGTACAATTATATTTACTAAACTTTGGGTGTTGTCAATGTGATTGCTGGTTAGCTGTCGAAAGTCATATATAAGTACAATAGGCTTTATTCATCACATTAGTACCTCCTATTTCCATGCAACTCCATAGAAGCGCTGAACATTAGAAAATTCAGAATGATGATAATTCAAGGCTGAATTTCGGAATGTTAGAATGTCGTTTGTTGAAATTATTATTTAGAACAAGCGACTAATGATATTTTAAATTAAATCTTTGCTAAAGCTTATTCCATCAAACAGTAATATTTATAGGCACAGATGAGAACAGTAAACTAAACAAGGCAATTCATGTGTAGATGATAGCAATGAAAAAACTTTCATAACCACTCATAATAAATAAAGAGTAGAAATCAATTGAGAATGACGGATGTACTAGTAGTGATATGAATGATAAAAGGTAGAATAGATACCTCAAAGTAGGAGGTAGATCAAAACTTGAGAGAACTGACATAATAAAAACACTCATGGAATCCTGTTAGAAATACGCAAATTATTAATACAAACACTCAGATATTGGAGAGGACATACGAAAGAGTATCAAGACACACATATGGTAGACGGTGTCGTGATTTCGTACTCATTACTGTCCTTTTTGGAAGCCATCACGTTATCCATTTAGCTACTGAGTCCTGATAGCCACCTGCTTGTGCGACGGAGTACATCCAGCTGACGAGACTCAAATAGGGCGAAACATGCGTCCTGGATTTCACTGCTAGCCACTATCCATCTTTTCTCATAATGCTTGTGACTTAAGGCAATATCGAGGCAATCCGCACAGGATGCACATATGCCAACAAGATACTGATCAGTTGCAGTCCTAAATAACAATGGGAAGATGCAAGTAAACAACACCAAGTGATCAGATTAAGATTATAAATTATTCTACATGATATCCATAAGTTTACGAGATGAATATTTATGATCACTGACTTTTGTAGTGTATAAATAGTGGAAGTTAATGGACTACTCTATGAATGATGTATATTATGACTCTCTGTTATGTTCACCAAAATTAAGTCAATATATGACAAAGAACCTATCAAACCTGAATCACTTTAACTACCTCTTCTCCATGTATAGACAACTTTCCAGTAATCTAACAAGATATCCTTCTCATTACAAGTTATCTTATTAAAGAATCGTGATTTGGTGTAAACTCATGTCGTTAATACTCATCCACAAAACGAATCGGTGGTTAGAGCGAGCAAGAAACTACATGAATGCGATATATTAACACAAAACAGGGAACATTGTTCATCTTCATTTTGCATCGTGCTTCAAGCATTTACTTTTCTTACTGAACCATCTGATTCATTTGTAAAGGAAAATTCTTCTGTACTTCATCTCTATAAAATATTCTTCAACAATTTATCGATTTGTAGCTAAAGATCATCACAAATTCATCTCATTTAGAGTACTAAGAATACTTGGGATTACTGACAACTGTTTCATCGTAGTAGGCAATTTATCCTCAAGCTCCCATCAAACTATAATAGTTATCTCAATAATGAATTGCGTTACAGCGTTTCTTAAATTCTAGTTAAAAATCGTTACTGGTAAAGTTGACCCATGTTGTGAGTGAAACAGTTACCACTACTGTTATCAGATAATAACTGCACTATATCTGAAATTTATTGAAGTTGAAATTGTATCACTGGTCCTTGACTCAGCAATTCTAATGGTTAAGCGTTCATCGTGAGAACCTATACATCCTAGGTTCGATTGCTGGTAGCAATGCAGATATTCACCAATAATGAGTCTTATCCTAGAACGAAATATCCATCCAGTGTTCCCTAGTTTTCAATAGCACCAATACTGAGATTAATCTGTAATCTATACACATTATCAATCCCTTTAAAACCCAAATTTAATCAATTCATGAATTTTACCAGTTGAATCCATGAATCGATCTCAGTCAGACCACCATTAGAAACCTGAAAGCACTGGACGGCCGTTTCGTTCTACTATAGAACTCTCAGCATTGCGCATCCACGAACCCGCACATGAGACTCAAACCTAGAACCTTCTGTCTCGCGCGCTAGCGCCTAACCTCTAGACCATTAAGCCGTCATGCAACAATGTTAATGTCCAATATATTCAATGGTAGTCTAGCTTAGATCGACTCACGAATTTAACTATTAAAATTACTACAATCTCCACAAATCCCTATTCCGAATTTATGAATTCCCTTTAAAATTCTATCAAATCTCATTAAAAGTAGCTCAGTTAACTTGTTATTATTAAAACGGGTCATATCTGTCTATAATTTTCTTCTCTTTGTATTATTTGTCAACAAATAAACTTGATACCAAAAATGTACTAACAAGAAAGCAAGAAAATACAAACATGATAGTTTATTTTTCAAACTAAAAAACTAATAATAACAAATTGAAATCATCAAAATTTATGATAAACAGTTAAATATCACAATTCATAATTTGATACTGTTCTCTAATGACAGTTAGTTTCTGTATTATAATATATTACACTAATGTGATTTCTCTCTTTAATATAGGTCATTGTCGGATAAATAAATAATTAAGTGGAAAAGGAAGAAAAGTGGAAAACACAGTTGTAATACTATCATAACTACTCCTATTTCTTAAGTAGTGTATGTATGTTTACGTGTGAAAGTATACATGAAAGAACAAGTTATATGAAAGTGAGAAAAAGTCATCATCATCATCATATCCATCAGGTCTTATTCCAGTCTTTTTCGTGAACTTGTCTGGTTCATTTCAATGATCAGACAACGAATCCATGACAGAGATTATTTCATACTATAATTTATTTTTCATGTCAGAACTTCATTTTTTTTTCTCATTCTCTTGATAATATAAAAAGAAAACAGGATAACATAGTG